TTCCATTATTAAAAAGTCTTTGAAATGAAATGTACCAAGAGAAAAGTCTGCCTCCCAAGAATCAGCCATGCTGGGACTGGGAGGAGCCGAACAAGGAGCAACTAGCCAGCCTTGCTGGTAAGCCACGCAAGCCATGCAAGGTCAGAGTTAACAGTAACTGAGGTAAAAAGCAACTAAATGCTTGTATTGTTTAGCTGATTTTGCAGGCCTGGGGCCAGCAGTCTGAGCATCTATTGGGAGGATGACAGTTTTCAATATAGCAAATATGGGAGATTTCCTTCTGTCTGTCTTTGAAGGCCAAGATTGTTCTCACAGTTTTATTTTGTTCTAATTGTTTTGATTGGCTTTAATCTGTTTTGTTTTGGTTTGCTTTTGCTATGTCTGAAGGAATGGACAACTAATGTGAACATAAGATATACTATGGTAGCCATAGTTGTTTTCCTAGTATTCTGCTTTGAAGTCCTGTGCCAATTATGCTGCATTGTTTTGATTGGCTCTGCTCTGTTTTGTTGGGTTTTACTTTAAAATAAATAAATAAATAAATAAATGAATGTACCTATGTGTAAATTAGTATGATCTGATTTATTCTTGCAGGGAATGTCTTAAATCTTCCCTGCTTCATGTCTACATTATAATTTGTTGTCTCAGAGGATGGGAGCAAGTATCTTGAAAGGAAGAGCTTGATGTTGGAGCAGCTTCCATTAGGGAAGAAATAATGCTTTTTGTTTAAGACACATAACTTTAAAAAATAAAAATGCTTTCTGAGTTTATCATTAGAACTTTTTCTCATGTGTGCTTATAGTTGCATGCTGGTATGGTGAGTTGTGTGGGAATAATATGGTTAAGCTAAAACTAGAGCTGTAAATTCATACAATTAAATTTATATCAAATCCTTGTAACAGAATCTGCCATAATTAAAGGAACGTAAGCTCTTCTGGATTTCTTTTAATTTGTATACACTAATACAAAAATATATCAGCAAGTTTTCAAACAATAAAAATTTAAACATGTAGAGATAGAAAATAAAACAGTGGTACAGTGAGTAGAGGGGCAGGAAATAGGGAGCTGTAGGTAAAAATATGCAAAGCAGTGTGTATGTAGGATGGATGAGGCTAGAGATCTGATGACGATATAGGTGTGTTGTTATTTTAAAAAAATTTTTAAAAGAGATTAACATAAAAGAGGACGTAACAAAGCAGATCAGAACAGAGCAATTGAAGCAACACAGTATTTCACCACAAGACAACCCAATATATCAGTAGCTACCATAATGTCTCTTTCCTTGAAATAGTTGAGTATACCTTCATACATAATAGTATCAAACATAACAAAATAGTGTAAAACCATTAAAGAGAATGAAAGTATTACAGGGCATTCAGAACCAAATAACAGAAAATGCAAAATGGTTACTATATTATCTAATTGTCCATAAAAGATTTGTTGATACTATCACACACAATAAAATCCAATAAGATACTACATGATAGAACCAATGGAAACAGAAAAACAAAAGCATGGTAGAACTTCAAAACAAGATGATATTAAATCAGCACTGGCTAGTATAATGTCTTATTTTCTTCAAAATAACTTCATACCATCACAGATAATAAAAGCAAACAACCCAGAATAAAGCCATTCCAACTAATGAATGGGAACATTATAAGGCTCCAAAACAATGTAATGGGGAATCATGATTACCATAAATTCTTGTGTATCTTAACATTTCTTTCACTAGGGAGACTATACAGTATTTATACATGTGAGTTTGATTTATTTCGCTTATGAGGATGGTCTCAAGTTGCATCCATGTACTTATAAATATCTCAATGTGATCATTCTTTATAGCTGAGTAGTACTCCATTGTATAAAAATACCACAACTTTTTTTTATTTAAAGAGAAAAAAGAAAGGAAATAAAAAACACAGCAGTAAAAATGTACAAGTAATACAGAATTTCAAGAAAAAAATATACAGTAAGAAACCACTAGTTAATAGGTTACATGTTGTCATCTTAGAAACAGTTGTCCAGATTATAAAATTAAAGCATATAAAGTGGACATTCACACAGTGAGATTGCAGGCAGTTCCCTTCAATGATCCAACAAAAGCTTAGTAATATGGTTTTCCATCCTACACACTCAAACATACATGCCATTATATCCCTTAGACCACCTTTCTTTCCTCTCTTTTTTACAATAACAATTACACTTTTTGGGTTTTTTTTTACTCCCACAGTTCTTATTACTTTTTTAGAAGAGAATAAAACCAAACGTGACTAAACAAAACAGAGTCAATTAGAACAGAAGGATGGGCATAGTACATGATGCAAAAATAGAATACCAGGTGACCAAAAGTGGTTACCATTGTGCCTCTTGCTATTTTTAAATTGAGTTGCCTATCTCATCAGGTATAATCGAATTGATCAGAACAATACAGAACAAGACCAATAAAACCTACACTGGAGACCTTACAGGACTTCAAAAGAAGATAATAGTCAAACCATAATGGGCATCATAGTAAATCTTATTGCCTTCAAAGTGGTTGCCTATACCCTCAAACTTGATACTGTCAAACAAAATAGAATATAGTAAAATCAGACAGAACAAGATGGGGATAGCAATACTGGGGTTCAAATCAGGTTAATAGGAAAACAAAAAAGTTACTATAATATATCCTGCTATTTTTAAATTTAGTTTTCCCTTAATTGAGAAAAAATAAAAAAAAGACTAATTAAAAAAAAGGAGGGAGATTGAGATAAAAGAGGACATTGTAACAGAATAACACAGCTCAGAACCAAACAATTTAAGCATCATTGTGTTTCACCACCAGATAACCTAATAGTAGTCACCATAGTGCCTCTTTTCTTGAATTATTTGAGTATAACTTCGTATACTATAGCATCAAGCATATCAAGACAGTGTGAAGCCATTCAAGAGAATGAGAGAATTACAGGGTATTTAGAATCAGCTAACAGAAAACGAACAATGGTTTCTATATTATCTCTTTGCCTATAAAAAATTTGTTTATACTATTGCACATAGTAAAATATAGTAAGATACAACATGTTAAAACCAGTGGAAACAGATGTACAACAGCTTGATGGGACTTTAAAACAAGATGATATTAAATCAGCACTAGCTTTTATGATGTGTTGTTTTCTTCAAAATAGCTATTCATACTATCATAGATACTAAAATCGAACAACCCAGATTAAAACCATTGCAATTGAGTGAAAATATTATATGGCTTCAAACCAATATGATTGGGAATCGTGATTACCACATACTTTTATGTATTCTTATCATTTCTTGCACTAGGGAAACTATTCTGTATTTACACATGTGAGTTTGATTTATTTCACTTATGAGTATGGTCTCAAGCTGTGCCCATTTATTTAAAAATATCTCAATGTGATCATTCTTTACAGCTGAGTAGTACTCCATTGTATAAAAATACCACAACTTTTTTATCCATTCCTCAGTTGATGGACATTTAGGTTGTTTCCAAGATCTGGCTATTACAAATTGTGCTGCTATAAACATGGGTGCACATGTATCGCTGTGGTATGATGTTTTCAGTTCTTCTAGAAATATGCCTAGAAGTGGAATAGCTGGAACAAATGGGACTTCCAATCCCAGCTTTTTGAGAAATCTCCAGACTGACCTCCACAATGGTATGTTGTTATGTTTTGTTTGTTTGTTTTTTTGTCTTTTTAAAATTTTATTTAAAGAAAGATTAAACAAAACAGAAAATGGGTAGAAATAATACATACGTTCAGAGAAAATGGTATGTTGCTATTGAGATACAATAATAATGTACTACTCTAGAGGTTTTGGTTGCAAAGAGAGATTTTAGGAGCTTCAGACATACATACAAACATGTGCACCCAGGATAACTGTAGGGGATGATGGCCATGTTAATTTTCTTGACTATAGTAACCTTTCATTGCATATGTATGTATCTCAAAACATGTATATCTTAACTATATGTAATAGAATGTAAGCTTTAAAAAAATTCAGGGATGAGATTGTAGCTCAGTGTTGGAAGTAGTTGAGGCTGCACATTGACCACATGTGCCAGGCTGGGGCATGACCACCCCAAGAACAATGAGTGCCAGGGCAAGCCATGTAAAGAAGCTGCTTTAGCCCAGAAAACACCTAGCCCCAAGACAATCTGAACAGTGGGTTGCTAGGACAACAGAGTGTCATATGCCATTAAGTTGCTAAAAGGTACAGATATCCCGACATGAGGGGCAGTTCCTTTCCTCCCATCAGGAGCATAAGGGCCCCACTGGACTTGGCTTTGTCTCTTCTTTATTTTCTCACCCTCTCCTGATCCTTCACCCCAAGAACTTCAAGAGCTGAATGGGTCACCACCACCACCACAGCTCATAGAGCACTTACGTATCATGAACAAGTCTCATACAAAAAACCCATACAAAAAGATCATATAACTATGGCAAATTTTATTTGATCTACTACCTGGATTTTGGAATGTCGTTATTTTGTTGAGGACTTAAAGAGTTTATGTCGCAGACTTAGTAGTATATGTCAAAAACGGTGCCTGACATTCAGTTGGCAGGTACCAAAAGGGCTATAGGTGCTGTTCTATTCCTGACACTAAGTTTTTAACTGCCAACTTGGAAAAAACACAAGCCTGAATCATGGGCTAACCACGGAGCAAGGGTAGGAAGTGAATGAAGGTAATTACTCCAGCTTTTCCTGGGACCTGGACACATTTTCCTTACAATACTGTTCTGGGTGATACACTGTGTCACTTGAGACCTTTAGAAGTTTTACTGAAAGACTCATCAGTGAGCCAGGATCCTCAATTTGTAAACGTCCTCATCCTGTGCAAGAAGAGGTCACAGAGTGTTATGGATTAAAAACTGGTGGTCAACTTAACACCAGCTGAATTAGATCAGCATGGTGCTGAGCGTAGATGGCCCACCTGAGGAAAGTTGCCAGCATAAATAGAGACATGGAGAAGAAGAGTGAGTTGTGGGTTCTCCTAAATGTTGCTGTTTCGAGCCATTGGTTCTCCTGGAGGAGCTCATCATGGCTAGCTTCCCCAATATGAGTTCGGCCATTACCATCAGAGGAATTCAGGACCTTATTGGTGAGAGTGGTTGTGGTTCACTCTGGAGGAGCTCTGGTCCTTGCACTGAGCTTTGCTTCCTGGCTCCGGAGGGGAAGATGTGTGCTGTTTAAATCCAGGAGAAGTTTGTCATGCTGGCTTTTTGGCATGTACTTGACTGTTCTCATCATTCGAGGAGCTTGGGACCTCCTTGTTGCTGAGGATGGCTGTGGTGCTTTGCAGGGCAGCCCTGGTCCTTATTTTGAATGTGAGTTCTTAGCTCCAGTGTAGAACACTCAATCCACTGGCACAGCTCCTTCATCTTGCTGGCACAGACTTTCTAGCTTCCACCCTGACCTTCGGGCCTTCCCAGCAGATCTGTAAAACAGACTAGCATGAGTCCTCCTCATGGGCTCTAGACCTCCAGTGGAAGGCACTGTCATGAGCTCTAGGTCTTCATGCAGGACATTGTGTAGAGATCCAGGGTCTTGGCTGAATATTCTGGGTCGTTAGTGTTGTGGACAGATAGTTCCTGTACTTTCTTATGTTTGACTCTGGGTGACATCATAAAATAATATTATAAATTCTGTGTCCTGAGTGTAATTGTTCTCCTCACAACCCCTGACTATAGCACAGAGATTTTGTGAGTGCTACATCTGCCCCGGGGAGGGGTGGCTTATGTACGATATGAGAGAGAAAAGGAGACTTGCTTTTCCCCCCATTTTGGTCTGGCTGCTACCTTGAAGTGTTGCTCCAGTGCCATGCCACCTTGCCTTGCAACCAGCTGTTTATGTACTGAAACTTCCAAAGAACTGTAAGCTAAAATTTCCTTTCCTTAATTTTGGCTGTTGAGTATTTTGTTCCAGCAATGAGAGAAAAGTAACCAAGACAAAGACCCAAACTTTTGGTTCTGTGCTGGGAGTTCTGATAATAAGCAATGATGTTTGAGGTAGGGCAGAGAAAGTGAGAAGACAAAGATTTAATTTAAAAAGTCCTAAGGCAGAGTGCAGGAAAGCAGAGATGGCTAGGTTATCAGTGCACATCTCCAGTTCATTTTAACCATCTGTTGAGCCAGATGTGTCCCTGACACTTTCCAGTCTCAATTGTTTTCATTTATAGAGACCTTCTGCTGGTCGATGATACAAGGCTTTAAATCTGATAATCAAGCCACCTGGCTGTAAAAGAATTTATGCCATGAGCCTCAGTTCCAGCAAAGTTGACTTTGGAGCTGAGGTATAAAGGTGTTTCTGTTTATCTTCTTTTGGCCTTAGGATAATAAATACACAGAGAAGAAGAGCCCCAGGCAGTGATTTACTTGACCTCTGCAGACTTGTTGATGGGCTGGAGACACAATGTGAAGACACATTAATAGGGTTGCTGACCAAGGCAGCTGCATTTGACAGCAGCCCCAGAATTGTTCTTGAGCTGTTCTAAACTGTGCTATTTCTTCCTCAAGCATCTCCCACAATTTGGGAGTCAAAACATAGTTTAAACTCTTATTTGCTCCCATTCAATTAAAATACTATATTTCTGGATTTACCTTATAAAGAGCAAGATCAGTTTTCTGAGTAAAAAATGAAGATTCATCATGAAATTATTAGTGGTTTTCAAACTATGACCTGCAGGGTTTCCCAGGGATTGCAGTATGGAGTGAGGTAAGTCCCAGTTTGGGGGCTGGAAGGTAGAATCTGCCACTTTGCTCTTCAAAGTAGCTCCATAATAATCTGCTTTATAACTCTGCCTCCAATAGTTTTGTTTGATGATAATATTCTGAACTAAGAATGAAACGTGAAAATCTTGATGCAAATGACATTTTGTTTTACAAAAGAATTTGTAGTGTATGTGGAGTGATTCAAAATAGACTCACAGTGTACTGAAATCCATTGTCCCAGCTGCTTGGATAGTTTTGAAGAGTCTACCTTTGGTCCCCAGGCCTCTCATATCATACTCCTGCCTTATTATTACTATTTTTTCCCTCAAGGGCACTGCTCTGTAAAGAGCCACATAATTTAGCCAGCTTGGATCTTTTCTCCAAGATAGGCACATGAACCTGCTGTGAGGTACGAGCCTCAAGTGTGCATGTATGTGTGCCCTGGGGGACCCACACACATATATAACCAGGTGGGAGAGGGGAGAGCCACTCCTGCAAGTTAGATGTCCTTAACCCTTAGATCTTACCATACTGGAACACACACACACACACACGTGCACACACACGTACAAACAATAAACATTAGCTTCTTTGCATCTGCAAACTTTCACCCAATCATGTTTATTTTTCTTCATCTCTTTCAACTTGCAAGCATGGGGCTAGAATAATGGCAGACTAGTTCCTCTATAGCTGATATTAGGGACACAATTTCCAAAGCTTGTGCTGTTTTCCACTCTTATTTGGAACTTTTGGGCCTTTCCTCAGGAGGACTATTCCACTTTTGACTATCAGCTGCCCTCTGTCATTGCAGTGCACAGTGCTTGGTGTGGTTCTTTAAGTATTGCCTTTCCTTCTGTTGTCTAGTGTTGTCCATTCTTCACACCTGAATTCTGTGTGCCCAACTGCACTCTCTAGGCATTTGTCTTTGTTACTTTATGGAAATGCGTCCCAATCCTGGCATCCAGAGAGTTATAGAAAAATGTCAAGGTTTTGTTGCCCACCTCTAGGAGTTCTGATTTAATTGGCGGGGTAGGTCCAAGCATTAATATTTAGTAACAGCTCTCAGTTGTTTCCCATGTGCATCCAGCACTCAGCATCACTGCCCTATGGCCAGCAGGTCATCTGAATGATAATTACCCAAGTGATATCAGTTACAGCCTCCTCATGTCTCTAGGCCTGGATAGAAATGTTCTGAGTGTTTCTCCTATTCCCACAGCATCCACATCATTTGAAAATTTGCTAGAAGTACAGATATCCGAGGTGCTTCCCTCCCCTCAATCTACTAAATAAGACACCCTGGGGGTGGAACACAGGGCTGTTTTAAGAAGCCCTCTGGATGGTGCCAAAGCAGGCTAAAGTTTGAGAACCACTACTCATCTGCTGCCTCCACAGCCTGATGGTGTTCAAGGCACCTTCTGGATCTTCCCATGTTTTCTGGGTCTGTAGTTGTTATGGAGTCCTCTGCTTCTGGGATCCAGGTTCTTGTAACTGATTCTGCTGTAACACATAGACTTTGGTGGAAGCTTCTATATCCCTCAGAGGAATCCATTTCCACAGAAACAGCGTGGACAAGTAGGCTTTAATGAAGAGACATGGGGGAAGAGGTGTTCATGCCACAAACCCCAAAGGAAACAAATTAATTGTTGGTTCTTGCTGGTTATTGGAAATTCCTATTCTTTTTAAAGGTATGTTGCCTTTGGAGCTGATGTGACTCTTGCACTACACATACTTCTTTCTTTCTCATCAGCTCCTTTGGAGTATTAAAATACCATCTTTTTATTGTTTTGATCTCGTATCAGCTCCCATTTGTTAACTTGACTTCAAAAACTAACGAAGGCATTAGTTGAACAAAAACTGCCCTTAACCAGTTTTGCCCTGTAAAACAGCAGTGGTAGATCACATATTTTTTCCCTGTTGCTTTGTTTTTTAAACTATATAATCCAAAGCCAAATGGACATCTTAAAGCAGATTCAATTTTCATAGCTTCAAAAAGTATAAAACATTGTCATGATGGTTCTTCTCAATTTTGACCTTTTACACAATCCTGCATATTAACTAGATCAAAGTAGCACCAAAGTAAATGATTAAAAGAATGAAAATTTGAATTAGCTGGTTGTTTTGACTAAAAGCCACTAGTTTGACTGTTTTTCTTTCAGAGTTTTCCTTTTTTATAGAACTACATTTCTTGGAGGCTAGGGGGAGGTATTAGGCAGGCAGAGCTTTTTTTTTTTGTCAGCCTCCAAAATGATGGTTTGGTTTGTTTCACTTTCAAGTGGATGATAAGAGAAACACTGTACTACAAAATTAACAAAGATTGGAAAATTCTTTAAGGGAATGTATCTTCCAAATGCCAAAGACTATATATAAAATTGCATTAGAATTCTCTAGAAATAAGAACTACTAATGAGTAAATCTGCTTGGTAGTGATTTTGAATGTGTCCCAAAGAAGGAAATTTTTATTTTTTACAAGGATATAAAACAGTGAATAGATTATTCAGTGGACTGCTGATGTGGCTTTGCATCCATTCTGGCAGGTGCACTGTGCTCAAATATACATGATAATAGTTTAAATGTAAATAGGGTTAATGAATTTTAATAGTCCTCTAGATCTTGTATTCATGCCTCCATTTGCATAGTGACTTATTTCTCAAGTCCCTTTGTAAATATTATAATGAAATAAACATAAGAGGAGAGCACAAAGGAGTGCATATGATTAACTCGGCAGACAGCTCTCCACGAAGGCAAACTGGAATCATATCACAGGATCGCAGACGTCAGGGATGGATGAGCTAAATAAGCAAACCAGTTGATCCTTCCTTTCTAATGGAGAAACAATTCTTTTGGAAGGTTTTCAAAAAAAAAAAAAAAAAAGCGTAGTTTAACTTTATGTACTTCAAGTGACAAGGTTTCCGAACATGCCTTCAAAAGAGTATTTGTTGTGCTTCTGTCTGAAGTGACTGTGGTCCCAGAGATGTGGTTCAAGGGATAAGAAAGGGAGGCACCTCCCCAGAAACACTGTCACTGTCTCCTGCTGGGTACACTCAGCCAGATCCTAAGGTTAATTCAGAGTTCACCATGGCACAGAAAAAGACAAAGGACCCTCAGCACCCCTGTAATTTCTTTTGTCAATCATGGGCAAAATACCTTTCTCTCACTCCAACTGGTCTTAAACACTTGCTAAATAAGGATGATGTTTAAGATGACTAATGACAATTATATCTTTCAGCTTTTTCTTTACTCTTAAGATATTATAATCAGCAACCCACTCTTGAGATGGTTGAACTTTCTATACTCTTTTGGGGTTTGGTACCTGTGTCTAAGCCACTGCAGGATAGCAGCGTGTGTACCGGGGGTCACTGTGCAGAGCCATGGTGCTGGAATTAGGTCTACTTCAAAACTATGTAAAACAAGAACAATAATTGTCCTACAATTCTGTTGGATGGGTTTCAGGAGTTATTACTTGCAGAATGTTGGAAGGATGTGTTGCCAGGTGCTTGTAAGGTTTAGCTGTCATTAGTTCCTTTACTCAAAACATACTTTCTCTCCCTTCATAAAACTTGCATTCTCACTCATACATTGCCACCTCCTGCCCCAGCTGTCTAACTTAAGGCAGAATTAATGTTGGCTCCTCTTACATTGTCCTTTAAATATTTCTCTCATTGATTGGTGTTTGTTAGGGTATATTAAATTTAATCTGAAAATATTTCTTCTATCTCTAGGTTATACATTTCTCAAGGGATGGCCAATACATTTTGTTTTCATCTGTTGATTATTCCTCTGAAACCAAAACAAGTCTTGGATACAGCAGGTGCGTCACATTTATTTGTTGGCTGAAACGCATGCAGTATGTAAGCCTTTTATTTTGGATAAGTATGGCTGAGCACTGACTGTGTGCTCAGTGTTGCTCCGGATATGTGTGTTTGTGAATAAGGAGGGTGTTACTGCTCTCTGTTGATTGCAGAGCCTGAGTCATTTGTGTATTTAACAGTGCTGTAATAAAATGGGTAGGCCAGCGGGATAAAGCAGGAAGAGCTGGGATACTGCTTTCCAGTTAGTGTGTATGTACACATTTGTGATCTGTTTGTTTTCCTATTTGTTTTGGAAAGCTTTTGCATATTTGGGACAATTCCCAAATGATGAGTCTCAGTTAGGACATAAGTGTGTGATACTGGGTTTCCAATACAGCATTCTGTGTGGGGCTTTGGTTTAAGGAGTCACAAGGACAAATGCTGACTTCCCTTCTCTGATTTGCAGGGCTATAGAGGTAGCTGACTCCCAGGCAGGGCAGCAGGTCACATCAAATCCTGAAACTTGCAAAGACAGCAACAATTCAGTATCTGTGTTCTCATTAGCTGACTCATGGCATTGTTTGAAAAGTTTTTCTGAATTAGTCTCCCTATGATTTTATAAGTCTTTTATATCATCTAATCTCTCTCTTTTTCTCTCTTCTCCTCTCCTTGGTTAAATTATCAGAGAGAATTTTGTTGTTTTCCACTGAAAACCCTGACTCTCAGAATTTCATTGAACCAACTTTTCTGGTTTAGAAGTTTCAGGCAGTAATGTTGATGATTATCATGTGGCATTTTTAGAGTTGTGGACTTAAAATTCCAGCAAGATCTCATTAGGGCCCAGCAAGTGTTGCCCAGTGTGGCTAACTATCATTTAAAAGAATGTTAAAATAACAAAGCCTAGTTATTATCAGTGGAATGCTCATGAAAATTCAGTTTTCTTATTATAAAATGTTGGACTATACAGTTGAAAGGTGCCTCCAATTTTTACCAGATAGCCTGATTTTTTCCTATTACTGTTAAAGATTACAGGGCAGAAGTGTGAGTTAGTGTCTTCATTTGCTGTCTGCCTCAACCCTTGAAAGCAATTTGGTTACAGTCAGCAGAGGGAGCTAAACTCAGGAAACCAGAAAGCTGAAATGAAAGGAAGTCTGTATTTCAAGCAAGATTTTCTAGCATAAAAGAAGGTCAGGGAGAGTTCAACTAGGATTTTCTGAAGGAAAAAAAAAGATTGCGAGAAAGTAAAGTGATCAGAAAATTGTTATAAGAGCAATAATAACAGATTAAAAAGAGAGGGAGAATTAAAAGATATGATTAACAGCTGTCACTACTTCAATTGACAAAGCTGGTTAATTGCCCATGTAATCCAAGTATATAATTTCTCACCTAGTATACTTCACTCATGAGAATCATAAATGAATTGCATATGTTACTTTATTAGGTTGCTGAGGATATGAGTCCAAGGAATAGCTTTGGCTTAGAGGGAATGACGATAGTAAAAGTAGCTTCATTATACATACTGAAAGGGTCTTTACTGTTCACACATTCAGTCCTTACAGGCTTGAAGGCAGAGATTATGATATATGACACTGTATTATATAGATGCAAAGTGGAGACCTAGAGAGCTAAACGAGCATGCCCCAAGGTCAGGTTTTCTGGCATGCTGTGTGTCATGGCAGACACATCATGAGATTCATTGTTAGATTCCTTGGTTTATAATAACCAGTCATCCCACTGAAGTCCGTAAGTCTAAAACCAGGCTCCTCCTTACCTACTCGTCTGATTCCACTTTGCCCTTTGTTTCCTCAATTCACAACTGTTCAGAGAAAGACAGTGCTTCATGCATATTCTGATTATTGCTGGACAGAGGCAAAGCCTAAACCAATTGCTGGGATGTGTTTCTTTATCTCCTTCCCTTTTGTCCTGTATTCCTTATTACTTGACAGATGTAAAGTGTAAAGAACAGCAGGGTGAATGCAAAAGCCTTTTCACTCGTTTAAAGCTTGAGCAACTTAACTACTTCAAAATATTCTAGTCTTGCAAATGTTTCTAGAGGCCAGCTTCCATTCCTTTGCACTCAGCCTTCAGACTTTACCATTAAAATCTATAGGGCTAAAATTGCACCCCGTTACATTCTAGGCTCTAGTATTCTTTTGCCACTTGTCACCCACTTCTTTCTGTTACTTGCTTAGTTTACGCTAGTGATTCTAAAGCAATAGGGAGAGTTACTAAACAAAAAAAAGCATTTCCTAGGTTATGGCTTAAGTTTTTTTCTTGGCACAGTTATGGAAACTAAAGCATATTCATTGATATAATAAATGGTAATTGTTATCACACTTCTGTGCTTTTCTATTTTGGCTCACTGTATGACATTAAAAAAATAGAGTATTTTTCCTTGGGTGCTGAACTAATAAGTCTTAAAAGCACTTAAGATATTATTTATAAAAGTATATACTTAAGGAATTAAGTCTTCCAACTCTGTGGTGGAATAAAAGGGATGCTTGTTCTAATAAGCCTGAGCTTCATTACCATTAAGACAAGCACCCATCTAAAGTCATCCCTCAAAAATATAACTCTCACAAGGAAGAACAGATTTGATTTAGACTCTAATCCTTGTTTTGTTGATTCTCTGTTCTTGTACTAACCATTTAAGAAAAATAAATCTTTTGACAATTTCACAATGTTAGTAGTTTCTTTAGGGTATATCTTTGCAGTTTAAGTCATCAAAGATCCTCTGGTGCCTTTTTAAAGCCTTTCTAAAAATATTTACACATCACACTTGTGAGCTTTGCATCATTAGATAGTTAATAACAATTGATCCCTGTCCTTCAAGGATTCCATATTTGCACTTTGCAATGATTTTGCTTGGATCTCATGATCTGTCATACATACTTTGTTGCAATTTTGGGAAAGTGTGGGTCAGGGTTTGGTGAATGATGGGAGGTGAAAGCTCAACATTTGCTTCCCAGTGAGCTTAGATAGCTGCCCAGCTCCTTTACATTATTACAGTTTTAAAGATTTATGTCATTTGCTAACTTGTATACCACCTTTTCTGCACACTTGTATGTTTGTGTGTATTACAATGGCAAACTTTAGTGATATGAAGATCTGTCCAGTAAATCTGGTTTTTAGAGGGCTGCTTTACACATGTTTTGTACAATTTAGGGATTGTACAAAATAAGAATAAAAAGGTGTTACATCAGTGCAAAAATCTCTGTGATTTATATGCATTATCTCTCAGTTTTATTTTAAATTACTTGTCATTATGAACTTGTTCTTTTGTTTACATTGGTGATAACTGATATTATACAAGGAATTATTAATAATTATTTTCGTTGAAATGAATTTCATATCAGATTATGCTTTGTTTACAAAGAAAATTCAGCTTGTGTATGTAAATAGGAATAGCTTTCACTGTATTTAGAAAGACGAATGAACTTCAAATGTTTTGATACAGTCACATTTCACTTTTGAGAAATCTGTAGATTTATATGTTAGCTATGTTACATAGGTATCCTGCACAGATTTGCTGGTAAGCATTGAGTTACTCTGAGGGGAGACCACTCTGGGAAGACAGCTGTTCATCAGGTTTGACAGCAGAAGAATTAGAACTGTCATGAGCCCTCTTGGTTTCGTCTGGCCTATAGAGTGATTTTCAGGGCATCATGCTGACCTGCCTTGATTCCAGGATTACTGTGAATCTAAAACCTAAGAGGGATTAAACATCAGCACTACACAGTGCTGACTCAGTTGGTCTAGCAAAGAATCTATTATACCACAAATAATTCCTTCTACAACATGGATGTAGAAAATCCTTACTGTGAAATTCTATCCTTAGAACTCTGACTTCACAGGATAACAGCTCACCAGGAGGAGGAGTTGTGGTCTGCTTAGTACCTTGGTGGCTTGATTTTATATTAATTCCACAAATAGGTCAACCAAAAGCTTACTGGCTCACAGAACAAGTAGGGTATTTTCAATTGGGAGAGGAAAATAAATGAAAGACAGAAGAAAACAATTTTTATTGAATTTTTCAGGGAAAAGAAGCTTAAGCAATAGTCCTAGAAAATCCTTATTTTGTTATGTGGTGGTAATTTGATTTTGGTGTTGATTTAGGCTTAAAGGTCCCTTCATCCATTTGCTTACTAAAAAGTTGAAAATAATTTCATTTTTTGTTCCTAAATCAAGTAATTAGACAATAGGTTTTTGCCTCATTATTTAGTTGAAAACCCTTAAAATGTTAATGCATTTGTCTTCTTAACCAGCTCTCTGCTGTCTATATCTATTTAAATCCTTCTACAGTTGCTACAAATTTTCAAAGTGGTTCCTATTCTTTTCTTTAGAGTTTTTATTCACATTATTATCACAATGAATGGAAAAGGTTACATAAATGTATAGAAAAAAATTTAAAAAAAATCAAAATACTAAATTAGGTATATAACAGTGATAGAATTATGGGTGGATTTTTTTTTTTTGTATTTTTAAACTTAGTTTTGAACTGTTTAATAGTAGAACAATAAATCTATTAAAACAAGAATACACATTTGTACCTGACCATGACGGGTAGCTTATATCAATCAGATCAATCCTCTCACCAAAAACAGATACAAATATGTGAATAGCTGTTTGAAGTCATCAGAGACCAGCAATGTGCCCAGAATTCGAAGGGCAGAGACAGGGAGAAAGAAACACATTGAAGTGCTCCTGAATTTTTCTGCTACTTTTTTCCTCTAGTTTTGAGTTGATTTGTAAGCAGGAATGAGAGCTAGGCAAAAAGTGTTAACTTTGTGATCTCAGCTTTTTCATTGAGTTAAGGAGACAAAAACAACCAACCAGCCAGCGAAACAAACACTGGAATTCAGAATCCACAGAGGAAGAAGGTAATGGTAAATACCTGAGAAGAGTCTTTGAAACACTAGATTCTAGGATAAAAAGAATAAACTAGAAATAGACTAATCCTGTCAAAGGCTGAAACCTGGTCTCAAGGCATCTCTCCTCATAATTGGATCTGCATTTGGTT